AGCTCTCCCTTGATTTTATACAGAATGATTTTATATTTAGTTCTAATTTTCTATTATTAATATGATATTATTTGGTTAATGTTACTGTATTTATTACTAGGTTGTTTTCTCTTCAAGCTTGTTAAATTTATAAGCTGTTTTTATTAGTTTTTTTAATTAATTTTATTATTAATTGTTTTCCCAATTATGGGATATTCCTAGTATCAAGGGATCATGATGATCTTAATCCTGACCTATGATATTTAGTTATAAATATCAAAGGTCAGGTCATGATATTTATAATATTGATTACTTTTATAATTAGTAACTGACTATAAAAATAATCAATATTATAAATATTGATTAATCTTGTAATTAGAATTGTACCTTAGTAAATATATAATCAATCAGTTGGTCTCACTCATACAATAATGTCAAATATGTATATTGGCCTGAAAAATGTCAAATATGTATGTTGGCTAGGGTGGTGCTCAAAAAACTTTTTCAAAGTAAATTGATGGGACAACCTCTATTTTTGTTCTATTTAGCATAACAAACTTATGTGCAAAATTTGAGAAGGATATTTCATCATTAAGGGGTGCCACACGAGGTTGAAAGTTTCACTAAGGTTGACGCTAATGGCTGTAAGCACTTTAAAAAATTTTTTTATGTAAACTATTTTAATTCAAAAGTTTTTAAATAACAAAGTATTGAACATTGAAAACCATGAAAAATTAACTTTAATTTCAATATCATTTTAGTTTTTCATTTTGTTTTGAATGGAAAAATGACTATTTAGTCCTGTTTATCAACAGTGGATTTCTTGGCATCAGGAAACTGTTTTCGATGCTCAGACACAACCTGGAGATGTGCTTGCTTTTGTCCTTCATCTTTTGTTAGAATTTGGTTAAAGTCTTGGATAAGAGCAACTCCTCTCTCTGCTCTGTCATTCACAACGCTCAAACCGGCTACAAAATGCTTAGATGCAATAAAAACTTGGTCCTCGTTCCACAAAGATGAATCCAATTTGAGCCAAGAAGTTGAGATGCCCAGTATAACAAAAAACCTCATGGTGTTCGAGTTAATGAAATCAGCAAGCTCTGATGATGAAATGTTGTTTTCACGTAGTTGAACACGTTTTGCAGGAATTCCATTTCCAGTTTTTGTTTTCATTGCATTTACCATCTCGTATTTTGTAGCTGCATCAACACGATCATCAAAAAAACTAAAGGCAATCAGTTTCTCACTGAGGTACCACATATGACGAGACAATGCCTTTATCGCTACATTCGTAACATTTAAATTTATTGTCCTGAATTGTGTGAGTTGTTTAAGACACATGAGATCATTCAGTGGAGCTTGAATGGACAGCGAAGCAGTAAACCATGAGTTGAGATAGACAAAGCAGACAAAAATATTCAAGAAACGTGATAAATTTATTTCACGCTTCGTCATGCGAAACTGGGATCTGAAGAGAAAAATTTTGATTGAATAAATAGCCTTGGTCATCCATCTGGCTTGATGCATAGCCTCAGGAGCCATAAAATGAACCCCGCGAGGAGGAATATGACCCAGGTAGATCAAAGACAGTTCTAAAAGTTCCCTATAATCATCACGAGGCTGGTTCTCTGTCAGCAAGCAGTTCTGAATGAAATCAATAGCTTCTTTCATCATTTCTTTGTTGCTGCTAAAAACTAAAGCTGTTTCAGGATCTGATATACCGTCTTTATATCTGTCATGAACGATTAATGGCCATGCTGTTTGAAACCTTTTAAACATCAAAATGTCTGGTCCAGTAGATGGTCCAGCTAATGAGTTAAACACATCTCCAAGAACAACTTCAAAAATATGGTGCCGACATGCAAGATGGAGCAGCTCTTTATTCATCTTTTTTTCAATAAGAACTGCTGCACCAGAGCGAATCCCAGAATTACTGGCTGTAGTGTCAAAAGACATGGCTTTTATATTCTCTGCAAGATTCCAGTCGTAGATTGCTGTTACAACTGCATTTGCCATTGCCTCTCCAGTGCCATTTGGGAGCTTAGGCACATTCAATAGACGTTCTACACCTTGACCCGAAAAAAGAATAGACAAGCGATCTATTTTTTCATGTTTTCCTGATATATCAGGGAGTAACTTGCCGTCCCAATGCACTACGAGTGGAACATCCCTAATATTTTCACCAAAACTTTCCTTCAATTTCAAAATTGTTTCGTCTCTATGTTTCATTCTATTGCGTCGAATTGACCAGCGATGACCAACAGCAACTGAGAATGAAGCCAAAGCATAAACCGCATTTCGGTCGCTGATCTTTGTTCGATCTAAAGCTGCTGCAACTTGTGGACTGACAATATTTTTTGGACGAGGTCGTTTTGTCTGCGGTGTCACTGCTGAGTCATGGTCAGAATCTACGTTCTCATTGCAACTTTTTTCTGAATCTGATTCAAATGTTTCAACTACAGCTTCACCGTTGCTGACAGCATGTCTCAATTCTTCTCGTTCTGTTCTGGCTTTCATAGCCTCTAGTCTCTCATGTTTACGCTTCAACTTGACAGTCAATTTTCTGTCTATTTGTGCCATTGAACTTGAGTGTCTTCCATTTCCAAGCTGAGCTTTAAGAAAAAGTTTATCTTCTGGATTTTGTATAAGCCTCTCGGCATCAACATGAGAAATGTCGAACGTATCTTCAATTGATGCAACAAAGGCTGTTTCTTTCGCTATCTGAGTTGCTCCTCCTCTTTTTGAAGCCTTTTGTAGATTTCTCCACTCGTTGTATATTTTCTCTAGCCTCGCAATTGCATGTTGCAATGTTGTCATTGGCATGTAAGCTTTGTTCCAAAAATCAGCAACTGTTTTAATAGTAATGTCCGAACTTTCTCGCACGTTTTTTTTTGTTTATTTTCAACTGATGGAAGAAAAACTGTAATGCTTGCTTTCGTGACGGTAGTCTAGTACCATTAATGGAGGCATTAAAGAAACCGAGAAGATAAATTTCGGTTGCAGATCTAGTTGCAGGTTTTGTGACATTTTCTGATATTTATTAATCTAGAAAAATACAAATAAAGTTATGCAATAAGCATGATGTGAATTGCAAAAGTTATAAAATTTTATTCATTTAGTATATATTCAGTGATATCCATTATTCAGTATCTTTTTTGAGTTTAGAGATATGAATTTATATAAAATAAAATTCAAAGTAGTTTACATAATTTATATTACAAATTAACAACTTAAATGTATACTGACTTTTCACAATTGAGATATTCCACTGCAAAATTGTTAAAAATAAAAATTTTTAGTTAAAATAATTAATTTGGTAGTCTGAGAGTGATAAACATACAAAATGGCGGTTTGGTGGCAAATTACAAGGAATTCTGGGATAGAAAAAATAAGTAAGTGGGCTGCAGCTAAGTAATTAATAATTAAGCACTATAAAAATTTAACTATTTGAATGTAACAAATTTCTAAAAATGCTATGAAGTAAAATTTCTGTTTTTTTTTTTGGAAATTTATAAATATTTTTCATATACAGAACATTAATTAGTTGATAAATTTAACAACTGGTCAGATTCTCAAAAAAAAAAAACATAAAGAGTACACCTCATTGAAAAGACTTCTGGTTGTGTTCAAAATGGATTTACAGATAAAAAAATGTATTTAAAGATTTCAATAATATTCAACAACACATTTACACGGCTATCTTTTCTATCGCGTACATGTGATTTTATCAGTTGGCATGTGGCACCCTTTAATGAAGGAATATTTTTATGAAATTTTGCACATGAGTTCATGAGATCAATAGGAACAGGACTAGAGGTTGTCCCAGACAAAATCTGAACATTTAATTTTTGACTACCACCCTAATGTTGGCCTACTCAAAAAACTTAATACACAGAGTTGGATTAAGGCATAATTGGGGCTACCATAGTTAAAGTGATAAAAAAATTGCGCAGACATTATTTTGAATTTAACAAATTAAACTTTTCTATCTTATTGATAAATATATGATAATATATTTATTAGTTTTCATGTATTATTTTAAAATTTTATTATTTTATTATATTTCAGTTAATAAACTTTCATTTCAGTTTATATTTCAATTAATAAATTTTAATTTATTATTTTAAAATTTTATTATTTTATTATATTTCAGTTATTTCAATAAATAGATGAAAAAATAACTGCAAAATTTCAATTCATCCAAAAAGTTCAGATGAACTTTATAAATGATCTAGTAATTGTTATTTCTATTTGATTTATTTTTATTATTTCTTTGTTAACTTTATAATTAAAATTTTTTAACACCAAATCATTTGATATGCTGTTTATTTATTATTTTTAGTTATACTATGTTATAAGCTTTGTTCATCTATTAGAGAAAGCCTATGCTTGCTTATTAAAAAAGATATCTTTATTTATCTAGAAGCAATCTCATTGACTATTTTACTAGTTCTTAGTATTTTGTGTACATTCACCATTTTGTTCATTACAATTTTAGTTTTTTAGATTTGCATTACTTACTAATGTATTAGTTTTTTTTATAGTTTACTATTAACGTCATATTGTATCACATGTTATAAGCATGGCTTCTTCTATCCAGCTATTTTTTTAAAAAGTATTAGTACTGCACAAGCTTTTTAAAAGTATTAGTACTTTTAAAAAGTACTAATACTTTTTAAAAGTACTAATACTTTTAAAAAGTATTAGTACTTTTATTGTTTAAATATTTTGTTATAAACACCTGTTCAACATAAATTTTACCTGATCTCCCTTCTCAATCTATTTTTATTGTTTAAATGTTTTGTTATAAACACCTGTTCAACATATGTTTTACTTGATTTATCTCCCTTCTCAATCTATTTTTATTGTTTAAATGTTTTGTTATAAACACCTGTTCAACATATGTTTTACTTGATTTATCTCACTTCTCAATCTATTTCTTTGCCTGGATTGGACTTGGTCTAGTCCTTTTATTTTAATATTTATAAATTAAAATTTAAATGAGCATCCAATTCTCTTACAATAAGTGCAGAGTATAGAGTTGCCATCATTGAGCCAAAATATGCCAAAGTAAATGGAAGTCTTGAATAGGAAACAATATGTTTGAAGTGATTCACAGGTCCCCAAAGCAAAGAAAAGCTAAAAAAGTATGAAAAAAAAAACTTAACAATAATATAGGTTAATATTAATATTTCAATTTAATATAAGAAAGTTTACCTAGAAATTGTAAAAAAACTTCCCATAGTGTATAACAAAACAAATTTCCTCATTTTCAGGATTAAAACTGGTGTCAAAAATCCAGCCTTGATTAAAATTAAAAAAAAAAAATCATAAAAGTACCTAAAAAAATTTTTAATTTATAACAAAAAAATTATAACAAAAAAAGATATCAAATGACTTTTGTTTGAAACAAAAATGAAACAGATAAGTAATAAGAAGTTACTTCAAATTCTTAATTTGTTTACATTTTTTTTCTTATTTTTATTATTGAATTTACATGAGAAATATTATCATCATTATTATCAAGTAAATTAACTTTTTATAAAAAAAAAAAAGAACTGCAAACAAAGTTATCTAGATAAATTATTTTTTTAAATAAAATTATAAGAAAAAGCTTACCATTAAAAAACAAAAAATTCCTAGCAAAAGCATAAGAAAAAAACCAATGACTCTTTGAGATTTAGTCTAAAATAAAATTTTTTTATAAATTAAGACACAATATATTGAGCAGATTAAGCAATCAGAAAGGAAATAAATTTTTTATATACTTTAATTTCTTTTTATATCCATTTTTTGCAATATTTAAAAGAGAGTTGTTCTTTTGAAGAAGATGAAAAAAATTATTACTTTTAGATATAGCAATTGTACAAGAAGGTGAAAACCATGGAGAATGAGGCTTGACTTGAAACCAACAAGAATAAATTCCTGTCTGGATCGAGAAGATTAGGTAGCGAAAGATGAAAAACATTAGTCCAAGGACTGTCGCAAATAAAACCACAAAAAAAATTCCAGTTAGCTTTTGGGTTGTAGCAAATGGTGAGATGAATCATCCCGCATGATACGAGTCTGAAGAAGATAAAAATTTAGAAAAATCCTTGCATAGGCTCATCCAAAGTTACCATGGTTTCATCCAAAGTTATCTAAGAGATTGAGAAATACATAAGCTATGAGTTTATGAGGGTCAGTGGTATTAGAACTCAAGTTCTCAAAAGAGTCTTTCTTGCAAAAAACAAAAAACAAAAAAAAAAAAAAGATTTAATGAACATTATATCACCAATAACAACAACCTTACGAGTAATATTATAAGAGTCAGAAAGTTAACTATCTAAATAAGAGATTGAGAAATACTGAAGTAATGAGTTTTAGTGTCAGCAGGGTCAGAGCCGAGCCATTCAGTGTTTCAAGTCATTCTTTACCTTATTCAATATTTTCGTCTCAGTCATTGGCTGAGAGGTATATATTGGGAAAGGGTTAAAAAGGAAGGGCAAAGTCAATTTGATCAAAAATTATACCTAAAAGAGCGCAGTCTTGAAAAAAACAAGATTAATAAAAAACGAAGAGAAAGCTGATTGAGTGAGGAGGTGCTAAATATGTAATGTGAGGAGGCACTAAGTTAATTGATTTGCAAGTATATGCCTAGGCCAAGGATGTGACTATTAGAGTTTTAACAAATCAAAGGATAATAACTGTCTAAATGAGTTCTGAAGATAAAACAGCCAAATTCAAAAGTCTCACACAAAGCAAATAAGTCTCATGAACTTTGCAAAAGGTAAGATTCAATTGATAAAACATTACTTCTAAATTGTGAATGTTTGTCAAAGATAGATTAAGACGCAACATGGCATTGTTAATACTATGATATTTTACAGTTGTTGATGAAACCAGCCTCTGTGAGCTAAAACAGAGCTTAGGACACCAGGGCTTGAATTAAGCGATCTTATAAAATCGTATAAAGAAATCGCAAAGGTATAAATCGCGATTCAGGATTACTTTTTATACTTTTGCGATTAGTTTTTTCTTAAAACATATTTTTGCGATTGGTTTACTTTTTTAGTTGTTTATTTACTTTTTTTCTAATTTAGCACAATCATTTGCTCTTTTGCACGGATATTTTTATTCAACATAAAGGGCTTTTGAATTTAAATTTCTTTAAATCTCTGCGTAGTAGCAAATTAAAAAGACAAAAGTTAAAAAGAATTATTTCTTCATTTTTCTTTTTTCGTAAATCGTAAATTTTGTTAACGTTTTGAATTATATATTTTTTCTTGAAAATAGTTTTAAAAGTAGAAACATTCTATTGCAAACATCAAAGCAGTGATTGCAAATTGCAAGTTAAAATAAAAATTATTAAAATTTTAAATTATATTTAGTAAATTATTTTACTTCTGTTCGAAAAATTTTTTTTCTAATAAAATAATTTAAGCATATTCTTATACTTAATATAATTTAATTTATTAAACAAAATTTTTTGTTTCACTTTTTTTGAAAAACAATTAAAATAAAAAAAAATTGAATGAAAACATCAGTTTAAAAATCGCAATATGAAGTTTTGTTTTAGTTTATTAACTAGCTCAATTTTATTTATTTGCTTCCTTTTATTTTAAACGCGTTTTATTTTATAAACTGTTAAATCAAAATGAAACAGTGTCACGAATTTGTTTTACATTATTCCAAGCTGTTTATATTTTTAAAACAACTTTGCAGTTTGTTTTAATGTTGTTTTATAGCTTTTAACAATTAAATACCTTTTTAAGTTAACACGTGTTTTAACGTCAGCATGAACGTATTAAATAGTTTTCTTACTAATTAAAGTGGTTTAGATATTGTAATGTTGTTTTTTCTCTTTCTTTTTTACTTTTACTTTTTTAAGTATCATGTTAAGTAAAAATATACTTAAAGAAATATCTTAATAGTATTAAAAACGTTATTGCTTATTACAACTGCAACTTAAACTTTAAGCTATATCTTAATTTGTAAATAATAACAGTAACTTACGCTATTTTAAACTCTGCCAAACAAGAAAATTATAAGCTTATATTTAAATATGAGAGATAATATGTTAAAAATAGAACAATTACGTACAATACTTACAATTATATACTAACACAACTTCCCTCCCCCACCCCCCATTACCGCAAAGCGGCAGACTTAACTTTTTTGCCTTAATTCGAGCCCTGGACACCTTACTACCAGCTAGACTCAGAACCATTAAACTTAGTTTTAAAGCTGTATCCTCATTAGAAGATTATAGGAAATAATGCATAGCCACAACCAAGGAACAATTTAAACTCATGAGTATAGTCATAAAGATCCAGCATTCCTTATCCTAGGCAGGAAACAACGTACTTCAGTTTAACTAGTAGTCAACCATATAGATGAAGAGGGGTGCAAGGCTGGTCAACAGAATTATTCTGCTTACCCCTAAAGTCTTTACCTAAGAGACCTTTTATAATACAGTAGCTGGATGTAGTTAATATCTGCACAAGATTAGTATTTTTATCAAGACAACATCTCTAGCTTTTCTTTTTAGAATATATGGCAAGTTGTACTGGATTACATTTTACCAGTAGCAGAGTGATGGTGATAATCCTGAACCTAATCTGACCTGTTGTAGTATTTAAAATAACTTAATTTGTAAGCAGTAATTAAAAATAATGAGCAGGATATGCATTAAGAAAAACATTTTATCTAAAAGAACACTGGAAAAGGTGAACGTAAGCTAATGCCGTGCTAGAGATTCATACAAAACATAGACATACATAACATAAATGTTAACGAAACATATGTAACTCTTTTCTTTCTTTTACATATATTTTTTCTTTCTCTTCCTTTTCTCTTTTGGGCTAGGTGATAAATTGTATTGTAAATATAGCTGGATCTGCTCTTGCAGCTAACCTTTAACCATTGTCACATTGTCGTAATGTTGTTTCTTTTTTCTATAAACACTATAATGGGCGCTGCTCTAAAGACCTAGCATCTCTTGTACTATCTAATAAAACTCATTCTTGTGTTACTCGTCATTCAATTAAGTCTTATCCTTTTACTGTGACTATTCCTAAATGCTCCAAACATTTTTATTTGTTTACTTTATTTCCTCAAACATCACACAGTGGGGTATTTGATTGATTTAGGCGGCCAAAACTAAATTTTTCAGAACTTCCAAAATAAATTAAAAAAGTTATTTTAGCAATGTTGAATAGTTAGTGAATATTAAAAACGTTAAGTAACCGCAAATGGTTTTAACAACAAGCGGTAGGATATATACAAAGTTGATCATTAATTATTGTCTACGCGTTTTCTTTTGGTCGCTTATTTTTTAAGCATTTATTAGCATCAAATAAAGTTTAATCAAAATATATTTCAAAGTGTTTTGTGATGAATTCTAATGAAGTTGGTAAAGGCAAATACATTTGGAAAGTTTTAATCAGTTTATTTGTGATTATATATAAGCTTGTTGGTTTGGTAAAAACTCTTTTCTTTCTCTTGTTTTTTGCAATTTTCACTGAAAACTATAAATAATTAGTAATAATTCCAAACATTTCCAGGTTACTGTTTTTTTATTAACAGATAGGCTAAGGTTTTGACTTCAAAGATATGTAAAAATCATCTGCCATTTTTTGCCATTTTGTTCTCTGTATTTGTTTATTCAAAATTCCTGTTCTTAAGTGTATGATAGGAAAAGACCAGGGGGGTTGTTGTTTATCTATAAATGTTTTTTTCTCTTTTTTTCTCTGTGTACTTTAAAGAAAGTAAATGATTAACTTTTTTTAAATAAAGGTTTACGATTAGTATTATATATTTTATCGAAACTATAAAATAATTTATTTAATAAAAAAAATACTAAACTTCATGTTCAGGTATATTTTAATTTTAAACAGAGTTTATAATAGGTTCGTCAGATGTCAGGGAAACGACCTGAAGAATGTTTTTTGATCTAATGCAGGGCCAAATTTTATCAAACATGAATTAGAAATTATTATTTTTAGAACATTACATATTAGCAAAAGATAATTACTCAGACGAACAAATAAAAGAAGTAAAACATAGTTTATCACAATTTAGTTACGAAATAAAACAAAGATGGTCAATAGCAAAGAGGGATAAAAATTTGTTTTTTAAAAAAAACAGTGATTGGCTAGATGGAAATATTGCAATACTTGCAGTACTGCATCAAGGGGGTAGGCCAGCAAAGAATTTTAAAGAATTAAGCGAGAGAAGCAAAAGAAGGAAAACAGAAAACATATGTGTTACCACAAGTTCAGAAACATTGATTTGTCTGCTCAGGTGGAATTAGGTGTTACTGGAAAAAGAACTGCTTCAAAAATTTTAAAGGACATTATCCACTCCCCAAAATGGGCAAAAATGTATAAGATAACATACTCTAGCGTTTTACAGGAAAAAAAATCACAGCTATTGGTATTAAGTGCACTGGCCATGTTTGTAGAAGCTGGTCTTTCCAGAAGACAATATCAAATTGTTAGAAGTTCTTGTAAAACATTATATCCTTGCTATAGTATCCTGCAAAAGGCAAAAGTAGATTGTTATCTAAATAAGGAATCTTATTTTGTCACTAAAACTTGTATCGCAGTCAATTTACAAGATTTATTGGACCATACCGATACACAATTGGTCATGTATTTAGAAGTGGTACAAAATTTAAACGAAAAAGAAAGAAGTTCATTTAT